GAAGGCGCGCGGCGGCGCTAGTGCGTCGAGTCCGCTCCGCGCGGCGCTTCGCCAGCGAGCACGCGGAACTCGACCGACCGCATTTTGAGACGGAACAATTAGAGCAAATTCATTCCAAAGTCTCGCCGGTTTGCTGACGCGGGTGGGGGCATTTCGCAAGAGTCGATTTGCCCTTTCGTCGTCGTCGTCATCACCAGATGCGACGCGTTACGTACGGTCATCGTCCTCGTCGTGTTCATTAGCGTCGAAAAAGAAAGCTGAGCAACCGTGTCAACAAAGCTTCCACTCAGTTCCCCCGTCAGCTCACGTGGCGCTTTCGAAAGAATGAGAAAAAGTTTTTGCTCGGACACCAAGTCAAACGCTGCAGGGGCTTACCTGGGGCTACGCGGATTTCTGACAGGGCTCCAGCCCCGCCCCCCCCACCCCGCCCCCGCGTTTAGTCCATCCCATCCCGCTGACTCGGACCCCCCTGGCTCCCTGGTCTGAAGCCAACAGTCCAGAACCCCCTGGTCTGAAATCGTAGCGCACTTGATTTTGGAGTCAGCCAGTCCTCCATCGAGTGTCTCCAGTGGGTCCCGAATGCCGCCTCTTGCCTGGCAGGCCCTCTTATAAAAAAGTACCCGAGAAATGCGCTTGAGTTGAGTTGAGAAGTGTGGGAAGTGTTTTGTGCCTCTGCTCCGTTCCGTCCCGCTAAGCCCCTCTCGCTGTTTTCTCCCCCCCCCCCGCCAGGTACACGCTGAGGACGGTGGCGCCTCGGTGCTACCAAACTGTCGACTTCTTTGGCCAGTGCAACTGAGCTGCCGCTCCGCTGCCCTGTCTGCCCCCCCCCCTTCCGAAGAAACCAACTCTCACTTTTGATCGCCCCTCTCTCGGCTCACTCATATCCAATGATTGATTTCCGTTTTGTTTTTTTTTTTTTTCATACCGGCGCCACCTGCGGCCATGCTTTTGACCACGTCGGCAACGATGCCTTCGCCGAACCGTTGTAAGCCTGTTGAACGAATCACAATGAATCAATAAAGTCCCTGACCATTGACACCCTCGTTTGGAAACTTTTTGACTGACGTTTGACAATAGAGAAATGGAAAAAGAAACACAGGTGGCTGTCATTGAGGAAGTCGAGAAGGAACACACCTTGCCGGAGAATGCTTTTGTTGCGCGCATCAAATTAAAATGTTTTTTTTTTTTTCCCTTCCGCAACCCTCCGCGCCGTGCCATTTTCGGATGACTCGGAGCAGGAAATGAATTTGAGCGTGTGGCCGCACGTTGAAAAAAAAAAAATCAATAACTGGTGTTGCTCCCTTCGTTGGGCGCGAGGAAAATCTGGACTCGGCGGACGCACGCCTCGTGCCGAATCGATCAACTTCACGTCGAACCGAGTCACTGACCAAGGATCGCGTGCAGAATTAACTCCGTGACGACAACAACAACGAAAAAAAAAAAAAAAACCAACGGGAGCCAGAATGAGCCAAAACCCAATCGGGCACCCGCAGCGGCGATTCTCAACAGGTGGGCCGGGAGCCAAAATGGCGTCGCTGACCTCGTTCAGGCTTGCGTCGCGGACAGCCAGAAGGAAAAACCGACACGGGTCCTTATTTCGGTTGTCTTTATTTTTTGTCTGCTCGCGTACAGCGGCCCCACAACGGGACACATCCAATGTTCTTGGGCCACCGTTTCACTCTGCGAACAAATACGGCGCGGCTGTGTGGCCCTACTTTTTGGCGGTGCACGAAACTCATTTGAAACGGCTTTTGAAGGTCTGGCACACAGCAGGTGACGCTTGGCTACGTCACCTGCGTGCCGCTCGCGACTTTGTTCCGGGCCCTCGCGGAGACGCCACAGGCACGCACTTTTGACTGCGGTCCAAGAGAGCGGTGTGGGGGGGCGGGAAATGACGAATAAGGATGTAGAAAGTGCAAAAATACAAACAGGTTTGTCGACAATCACTGTCCCAACACACAAATAGACTGCAAGTGAAAGAGACACAAACAAGGCTGCCGTGACACAAGCGACACTGCGACTTGGTGAGAATTTGTCTGTTTTCTTCGGGTCGTCGTTGTCGTCCTGCTCGGGAGCCTCGGCGTGGGTGAGAGTGTGTGTGTGTGTGTCGGGGGCGGGGGGGGGGGCAGTCTACTCACCGGTTACATTGATCGCTCGGTGAGTCCTCGGGTCCGATTCGCACGCCGCCGGCCTCGCTGCTGACTGCGCCTTGTTGCTTCTGGACTGGTCACGGCCAATTTTTTATTTTATTTTATTTTATTTTTTTTCCCCCCACCACACGTGCGGCATCGACGCTCGCGATGCGTTTTTTTTTTTTTTTTTTTTTCATGTGTAAACAATAGGAAGGTATTGTGATCTTTGGTGCAAATAATATTGGCCCCTGTTCTCCAATCGGATGGCGATGAGCATCCGATGGGTCAACGTTTGACAAAAAAAAAACGATACGATTCCACCTGAATTGATTGCACTTTTTTTTTTTTTTTCTTTCCCATTCTGCACTTCCGGTGCCATTGTCACAAGGAGAGCACCTTTTCAGTTCGGTCGCAAATGAGCATTGGTGGAAAATAAAACCCCACGGCATCCTATGAACAGTGAAAGTCCAATTTGAAGAAAATTGCGTTTCGATGGAATAATGCGAACACTAAAAACGGCAGACTCCCGAGGAAAAAAATAAGTCACTTCGGTCTTTAGCAGATACGACGTTTTATGTGCTCGTTTGTCCGTATGAGCTTGGGGATCTCCGATCGGCACCTTTCGTAGAAGCCGAAAGATAGGGACGGAAGGTGCGGGCGACTTTGGACACCGGAACCTTTGACGTCACCGTGACGCAACTCCCGGTCCGGTGACTTCCACCGCAGACGAATTCAACGGACGTCTTCGTGGTTGTTTCTTCTACGGTCCCATTTTCCCAGCAAACACTTTTCTCTGGCACTCGCGGTGGGGGTCGGGCTAAACGCCCCCCCCCCCCACACACACACACACACACACTTGCCCTAACTATAGCGCCGCCTTCGTCCTGGCCCTCACCTTACCTTGGCGTCATAAAAGAGGAACAGTCCAATGCATGTAATTCTCACCATTATTGATGGTCCACTAACACCAAATCTGGAAAACACAAAGCCCTGCCAGTTATTAAGAATAATGAAGAAAAAAAAAAAATTGTGCTGCCTTAGCAAATTTTCACTGAACAAGTTCATCTAGTTAATTGCATTTCTTCGAAAATAATGAGGGGGGAAAAAGTTTTTAAAAATCAGGTATTTCAAATTTAGAAATGTGCATAAAAACAATAGATTAATGGGTGAGAATAGTAAGCAGTTATTGCTCATCACTGTACGTGAAAGGAAGAAATTCCAGAGGTGCGAATCAAATAATCAAAGAGGATATCCTTCAGGATCCTCTGCAGAAAACCGACATGAGGTTGACAAAACGCAATTTCGGCATGAATGAAATAATTCCGCGCTTAATTTATGATCTGCTGGAGCAGAACTGTACTTCGTCTCGGGGTCAAATTTGGATGCTTTGCCGGAGAGCGTGAAGAGATGTTCCACCTTTCATGGTCATGAATTCAGGTTTTCATTATTACGTAGTACAAATGAAACTAATTGGATTATGCTGTATTTGCATCGCCAAATTCCATCATATGTATACTTTGTATCATAGGTTTGTGCCTTTACATTGACACACAAATGGTTTTAGCCTTTTTTGTGTATAAACAATGTTAGACCTTTGGTTATATCAGAATGTGACATGTATTTAACTCCTAATGGGTTTTTTTTTTTTCTTTCGCAGGGTTACTTTTTGCTATTTGAGTCCATGTTGGACTCCGTCTTGGTTGCCAGAGACCTCTATTTGGAAGATGGTGGTTCAGGTAGACCTTCCATTCTCTCTTGATCGCCATCATCAGCAATACATACAGTCATTCTCGAATTTGCACCACAAATCGCTAATCGTTTTGACGGCAGCGAATTAGTTCTTTATGGTTTGAAAAGTTCTGCTTCTAACTCCAGAAAATGTATTCTTTTTAGTTTAAAACTGCTTACCTTAACTAGAATCTCGCGTCATGTTGTGACCACAGCTTCAAATAGCAAGTTTCGGCGGATGGTAAACAATAGGAAGTTATTGTGATCTTTGGTGCAAATAATATTGGCCCCTGTTCTCCAATCGGATGGCGATGAGCATCCGATGGGTCAACGTTTGACAAAAAAAAAACGATACGATTCCACCTGAATTGATTGCACTTTTTTTTTTTTTTTCTTTCCCATTCTGCACTTCCGGTGCCATTGTCACAAGGAGAGCACCTTTTCAGTTCGGTCGCAAATGAGCATTGGTGGAAAATAAAACCCCACGGCATCCTATGAACAGTGAAAGTCCAATTTGAAGAAAATTGCGTTTCGATGGAATAATGCGAACACTAAAAACGGCAGACTCCCGAGGAAAAAAATAAGTCACTTCGGTCTTTAGCAGATACGACGTTTTATGTGCTCGTTTGTCCGTATGAGCTTTTGGGGATCTCCGATCGGCACCTTTCGTAGAAGCCGAAAGATAGGGACGGAAGGTGCGGGCGACTTTGGACACCGGAACCTTTGACGTCACCGTGACGCAACTCCCGGTCCGGTGACGGGCGAACCCCCCCCCCCCCCCCCACACACACACACACACACACACACTTGCCCTAACTATAGCGCCGCCTTCTCTTCCGGGTTCTTCCCCCGCCGGTCTTACGTCACACGCGCGCCGGTGCTCCGATGATTTGCGACTCCCCGGAAGACCAGAATGACGTCTGAGCGGCCAAGGTGATGAGGGCCCCCCCCCCCCACACACACACACACACACACTTGCCCTAACTATAGCGCCGCCTTCTCTTCCGGGTTCTTCCCCCGCCGGTCTTACGTCACACGCGCGCCGGTGCTCCGATGATTTGCGACTCCCCGGAAGACCAGAATGACGTCTGAGCGGCCAAGGTGATGAGGGGAGAATTGCAAAGGGCAATCTCTGGACTGCAACCGCTGGGTGCGGGACCGGGGGGGGGGGAGGGGTCTTCAACCCCCAGTGACTATTCATCTCCACTCGTATTGAGCACATTTGATTGGGTGTGTGGGAGCGGCCCTTCTTGGCGGGAGGCGGCCAGAGCTGCGATACCGAGAAAAGGGACCCGCTTGGAGTTTCGGGCAGCCGTCCCCAGTGCTAAGGATGGCCACCGCGGGGGGCCCCCGGTTCATGACCGCCGCCGGACACGCGGCTGCAGTGTCCTCGAAGCGCTCCGCGGGCGCCCTGTTGTTGCGCGGTCTACGTGTTGTGTGGAGATGTTTCTCGATCAGAGAGAGGACCGTGACCCGAGTCTCCAGTGACCGGCAGGAGTGTGGCGGGATGTTGAAATTGTGTCCGAGCGCGCTGTGGCCGGGGGAAGCGCAAACTCGAATGTCAACAAACAGCTGCAGTTTCCGGCAGCCGTTTGTTCACCCGTTGCCCAGTAATCCGCGTACGGAAGGAAAGATCGAGAGATGTAGCCCTCTCTCTTGCTTGATCTTACTTCCTTTTCATGTCGGCTGTCACGCCTCTCCATAACTCCTCCATTCCATGCCGACCGGACGTCAGCCGGCTCCTCGTTTGGGGCTCCATTGGTTGACACATCAAGTACAATTCGGTGACAACGCTAGCGTCGATGTCGTCACCGTTTCGAGTCTTCATTGGGGTTCACGTCTCTCTGCGGCGGCGGCCCACGACTCCGTGACGTTTGTCTGGACCACATGAATGAATTAAGCCAGACACTCACCGGCCATTTCCTCACCCAGGCTGGGGTCCAGGAGGTTCCCCTCACTTTCTGATCCTCAAATCCTTCCGGTCACTGGATGAGCGTAAACTGGTTGGTTGCTTTGTTTTCGTCAAGCATATTTTTCGCAATTCTCGGCACTCTTTCATTTCGGACCCTTTTATTTTGTTCTCCTAGCCAGTCCTGACATGAGGTTAAAGTGGATGATGCTGCTGCTGGTCCTGGCGGTTCTGGTGCCAAGCCTGTCCCAGAGCCGCATGATCACCAGATGTGAACTCAAGAGTAGACTCGAAGAGGCCATCAAGCTACCTGTTGGCCTCGAAAGGTTCAAAGAGAGTCTCTTGTCAGTCGGTGAGAAATCTCATCAATTGCTACCCACAGCTTTGAAAACAAACAAAGTTTGGACACAAACATATGCTTCGGATAACGTTGTCTTCATGCTTTGCAGTAATATGTGAATTGGAGCGAATGTCAAATCTGAACACCAGCATGGTCAGGACGACCATGCTGGTCTCCCCTGACTCGACAACCACCACCACAAAAGCCCCTGCACCTGCAGCATCGACCAACACCACAAGAGCCCCTGCAGCTCAAGAAACAACTACCACCACAACAGCCCCTGCACCTCAAGAATCTACCAACACGACAGCAGCCCCTGCACCTCAAGAAACAACTCCCACCACAACAGCCCCTGCACCTCAAGAATCTACCAACACGACAGCAGCCCCTGCACCTCAAGAAACAACTCCCACCACAACAGCCCCTGCACCTCAAGAATCTACCAACACGACAGCAGCCCCTGCACCTCAAGAAACAACTCCCACCACAACAGCCCCTGCACCTCAAGAATCTACCAACACGACAGCAGCCCCTGCACCTCAAGAAACAACTCCCACCACAACAGCCCCTGCACCTCAAGAATCTACCAACACGACAGCAGCCCCTGCACCTCAAGAAACAACTCCCACCACAACAGCCCCTGCACCTCAAGAATCTACCAACACGACAGCAGCCCCTGCACCTCAAGAAACAACTCCCACCACAACAGCCCCTGCACCTCAAGAATCTACCAACACGACAGCAGCCCCTGCACCTCAAGAAACAACTCCCACCACAACAGCCCCTGCACCTCAAGAATCTACCAACACGACAGCAGCCCCTGCACCTCAAGAAACAACTCCCACCACAACAGCCCCTGCACCTCAAGAATCTACCAACACGACAGCAGCCCCTGCACCTCAAGAAACAACTCCCACCACAACAGCCCCTGCACCTCAAGAATCTACCAACACGACAGCAGCCCCTGCACCTCAAGAAACAACTCCCACCACAACAGCCCCTGCACCTCAAGAATCTACCAACACGACAGCAGCCCCTGCACCTCAAGAAACAACTCCCACCACAACAGCCCCTGCACCTCAAGAATCTACCAACACGACAGCAGCCCCTGCACCTCAAGAAACAACTCCCACCACAACAGCCCCTGCACCTCAAGAATCTACCAACACGACAGCAGCCCCTGCACCTCAAGAAACAACTCCCACCACAACAGCCCCTGCACCTCAAGAATCTACCAACACGACAGCAGCCCCTGCACCTCAAGAAACAACTCCCACCACAACAGCCCCTGCACCTCAAGAATCTACCAACACGACAGCAGCCCCTGCACCTCAAGAAACAACTCCCACCACAACAGCCCCTGCACCTCAAGAATCTACCAACACGACAGCAGCCCCTGCACCTCAAGAAACAACTACCACCACAGCAGCCCCTGCACCTCCAGCACCTACCAACTCCACAACAGCCCCTGCACCTCAAGAAACAACTACCACCACAACAGCCCCCGCACCTCAAGAAACAACTACCACCACAACAGCCCCTGCACCTCCAGCATCGACCAACGCCACAACAGCCCCATCGGCACCAACAAACAGCACAACTGTGCCTGTAAACAGCTCAATACAATTTCCTGATGCGGAGGTCGTCCAGATAGAACGGCAGGTCGAGATAGAGGCACTGAAGAGACACGTAGATGGATTGTGGACCTCAGAAGAGGAGGCCACAGGAGGCGCACGCCGGCGGCGACGCCAGGTCCCCGAGGCGGCCATGGCAAATCCGCGGTCTTCCCCCACTTATTACGGAGTCTTCCAGCTGTCTGACAAAAAATTCTGCTTTTCAAGTGATCCTTGGACGGACAACTTCTGCATTACATCCTGCAGCGGTGAGTCATCTCGTCTACTTTACATTGACACCCGACAAATAGTAAAGGCCGCTGCTCACCGAGTGACTCGGCCAAATGTGATTGAAGTGGTTCTTCCTTGCGCTTGACCAGCAAGAAGCATTTTAAATGCCAGAAAAGCCCGTGACCGCCAGGTGGTCTCTTTTGAAAACGAGATGTGGAAGCCCACACATCAGCCACTTACAGCAGCGGCGCTCGGTATGCGGTGGGCCAGATAGAGAGGGTGACAAATGCGGTCACCTGGGAGCGCCTCAGAGTCGACCCGCTGCTCCTCCTCATCGAGAGGAGTCACAACAAGTGCTAGGATGCCTCCCTGATACTTCCCCGGTGGGGTGCTCTGGACACATACCGCCAGGAGGAGGCCGCGGGGAAAAGCTCCTCCGGACCCCCCTCGAAAAGGTGGCTTGAGAGAGTGATGTCTGGCCTTCTTTGCTCAGGCTGCTGCCCTTGAGAGCCGACCCTGGAGAACCACGAGAAAACGAACTGAATGCGCCCAGAGCTTTGACTGACGTTATTCATCATAAAATAGAGATATTAATAATAAATTCATATCTCGATAGCGCCGAGGCGGCCCTGAGAGACGTCGAGGTCTCGGAGCCACCCTGCCGGCCGGGTCGCCCGATGGCTGGCTGGTTGGCCCTCAGCTTCCGCAAAAACATTCGTCCCCGCGCGGTGAAGCAACTCAGGGGACAGGGAAGGTTTGGGTGCCGCGCCAGTTCAAATCCCAAATGGTGGCTCGGGAGTGCGGCGAATTTGGGTCCTCAAATTTCTCAACGCTGCGCCTCAAAATAGGAAGAGGTTGCACCGGTACGACCGGTCTTCCGTGCGAGGGCGGATCTTCTGCGCGCATGTGCATGTGCATGTGCATGTGCGTGGGTCAGATATCAACAGTGTTCCTCTCCACAACTTTGCAGTTGCAAAGACTAGCGTGAGTGGTCCATTCAAAGAACTGCAATTTTGTCTCCCAAAACACAAAGATAAAAATACGAGGCAGGCAAAAGATTGGGTGCAGCCTCCTTCCGTGTTGGTGCACCGGAGGAAAAGAATTTGCCGCATCGGTGCGACCAGCTGGCCTCTTCCCGGGCTTTTAATTGGGATCGTGACGCGGCGTCAACCCCACAAGGAAAGAATCTTCTGTCGTCCCGTGGTTGTTCTGTCGCGTGGCGGGCCGGGGCCGTCGCTCGCGACTCCACCACTAATATGCCGCCTTCAAACGAGAGGGGCGTTTGGGCTCCTTTCTGACGAATGACAGCAAGAGTCCGTCACGGTGTTCGGCAGGCGGATGCAAAGTCCGTCAGCAAATTTCCCATACGGGTCGTTTCGCAAAAGGTGATTCGCCGATCGGTCGCCACGCGTCAACCGCGTGTTTCTGCGCATTCAACAAGCTTTGCTCTTCCCCTTCCAGCGTTCATCGATGACGACATTACCAATGACGTGGACTGCTTTGTGAAAACTCAGTCCTGGATGTAAGTGACCGCCATGCCCGCTCTTCATTTCGCGATGCATCATACTCGATGCGGATTTAAGAACAGACGATATTAGGACTCAAGTATTGGAAAGCCGACAGGAAGTCAAAAGTGAAGACACGGAGTTAAAAAAAGAAAAAAACGGCTTGATGGTTGTTGGCTGCCAAAGAAAGCTTCTGCATCCGACTGTGTGCGCCAACGGCGGTTCATGTGGTGACATTTTAAAATCACGATGGCAGGTCACGACCTCCTTTCGATATTATTTACTCCCGGTGTGGAGTTTGCATGTTTTCCCCGGGCCTGCGTGGGTTTTCTCCGGGTCCGCCGGTTTCCTCCCACACGTTCCCAAAACGTGCACGACAGGCTGACTGAACGCTCAAAAATCGTCCCCCAGTGTGAGTGTGAGCACGGATGGTTGTTCTTCTGTGTGTGCCATGCGACTGGCTGGTAACCGGTTCAGGGTGTCCCCCGCCTACTGCCCCAAGACGGCCGGGATAGGCTCCGGTACCCCCCACCCCCGCGACCACCCTCCAAAGCAATCCAAGCTCCGGTGGCTCGACGGACTCGAAGTGCTGCGTCCAGAAACTTTTGTCCGCGTGAAGTATTTGCCGTTGAAGAATTTTTTTTGCTCTTGTCCAACCAACAGGAATTTATTCCGGACGGCCAGCAGCGAGTGTTTCCAGGTCAGCAACTACTTTGATGGCTGCAATTGAACAACGCGGCACCTTTTTGCTAGCTTGACGCTGCATAAACACCAACGAGCGAGCGTCTTTGGCCGGGGGCGTGCTGAGGCGGACTGGATTTTTTGCGGTCTCGTTCCTTTCCTTCCGCGTGCTTCCTCAATAAAAATGCACGGCAGATTCCCACCAATGGAGTGCTTTTCTTTCTCTCGAATCGCCAACGACATCCCGGAGGCTGTACCGATACCCATTCGAGTGCTGTCCGGAAGTCGGGTGTTTCGGACCGAGACACCAGACAGAAGGTATGCGCGCTCACGCTCCGCGTACAAACATGTCGACATTCGCGCGTCCTTCGCTCCAAACACTCCCGCCACCGCACACCCAGACAGACACGGCAAGGCCGGCGCTCCTTTCTTTTGTCTTGGCTTGTTGTTGTACTCGAGCGGCTACATAGCTGACTAATCGTTGCCGCCACTGAATGATTTTCTTTTCCGCGGGGACGTCCGTCACGTCGACGAGTTCTCACAACGATGTGCAAAGCGTCTTGGGCATGGAGGAGGCACGGCTTCGTGGTCGAGTTGGTCGTCTCCCGGCCCAGAGGTCGGTGGGGGTCGATCCCTGGTCTTGTTGAAGCGCCCTTCAATGCGATCCTGACCCCGGTCGCTCCTGATTGCTCCGTCATCCGTCGGTAAAAACGAGGTGTCAAACGCTAAGAGTGGAAAAGCGCCATATGAAGTGACAGCCCACGTGCCATTTTGGCGTCCGAACGTCAGTCCCGCTAGGCTCGGTCTGCTGACCTCAGAGCCCGACCGACTTCAGCGTTCGGAATGAGCCGCGCCTCTTTTGAGAGAGTCCAGTCGGAAGACTGTTTTGGTCATCAAGTCTCACCGCAGGTTAAAGCGTGGATGAGTTCCTCCGCTTGGTGCGTGCAGGCCTTCGATCTGGAGATGTTTTTCAGCAGTTTGAGGAATTGATTTGATATCACGCATGTATTCACGTATTGATATTGAAAGTTATTATTTTGGTCCTGCATTTGGTTAGAAAGCGTGTGTGTGTGGTCCAATGCCCCCCCCCCCCCACCCGCCTCCCAATAGTTGTGATGAAAACAAGTGCCCGCCCCAGCATTTATGTTCCCCATCACTGACTTAAATCTATGTCTAAGTTTTGCCAGTTAGTTGTGTTTTGAAAAAAAAAAAAAAAATCGCTCTCAAACTGTATGCGTTCGTAGATGGCTTTTTAATCGTCCTTCACTTCAATGGAAGGAAATGCGGTGGTGGCCAACCCTTATTGGGCCATGGCACAATTTTTTTTTTTTTTTAAATTCGAAAAATGGCACAGCACACGAGCAAAGAATATTCTCACCAAAAGAGGATTCATATGTCCATTTCCTACTTTGTGCCATCTATGAGATGCTCCCTTTTGCTATTTTTTTTTCTGTCCCCATAAGTCGCTGGCATAGATAGATGGACAAAGATTTGTTATGAATACAGTCGTTGGTTTTCTCTCATCGTTCGAGTTGTTCGGTGTCCGATTTTCAGGCGGGAAGTGGCGCGATTTGTCCTTTTTGTGCCTTTTTTGCTTTCCGTAGTCCTCTCAGTCCGGAAGTGCCGCGTCGCGTTGCATGCTGGGGAAGCGCGTTGTGTTTTGTCCGCCAGCTTTCTCGCTCCGAAATCCTTGACGGTAAGTCTTTCAACTTTGATCCGATCCAGGTCCGTTTCGTTGTCGACGATTTCTTTGGGTTGCTTTCCAGTGCCGGTTTTTTGCTTTTTTTTTTTTTGCCGTTGTCTTTGTTGGCTTCTTTCTTCCCTCGCTCGCCTCCATTTTGTGTCGAACCACCACCACAACAACAGTCTCGTCCAGTCACTGGCACGGTGAGAAAAACCTCAACGAGGTGGTTTTTGAGCAAGTCCAATGAAAGCCTTTTTGGGCTCTTCGGGTTCGCCGCTCGAATCAGAAACGGGACCTCGATTCAAATCGCCAGGGCAGAAACGTTTTCAAACAGGAAATGGATGCGGATCGATTCGGTCACACCGGAAGATGGCCGCCCCAAACCCGAGAGAGTCTTTCCCGTTTGAGGGTGTGGGATTCCGCGAATTTTGGACCTTTCAAAAAAAAAAAAAAAATCGAGGACTCTC